TGGTTTGTTAATGGTGGAGAAAGATGAATGGGTAAATAAGACAGTTGATAGAAAATGGATGATTGTAATAATAAAATAACAATAAAAGAAAAAAATAAAGCAATTTCGATCATATAAATACAATACATACATATACACAGATATTTATGCTTACCCTGATATATATGTATACACATATTCATAAAACAAAAATAAATGAAATTAACAAATCAGTAAATGATAAGAAAGAGAGGAAAGGGGAAAAAAGAAAGGAGTAAAAGGGGTTATATGATTATATTCTCTGTTCTAGTTTGATTGATAGGTGCGATGTACTCAAAACAGCATGGACAATGAGAAATGAGGACTAATAACAATAATGAAATAAAAGTTGCTTGTTATATTTCTAGGAGTTTTAATATCAATATGGCTTTTGTTTAATTTTAGCCCACACATAACCTTGAAGTTACAGAACACTTTGTATTAATCCATATGGGGCGCCTGAGTTTTATATCTCTCACACTCGCAGTAGACCTGTCGCTCTTCTGATAAGGGAGCACCGGATTTTAAGGGGACTGCAGTTTCCATGACAACCGTAGTGCCCAGTCTGTCTTTCATCCAATGACGTCAAACACCAACGCAGATAGAAAAGAAATCAGACCAAAATAGATCTAGTTGTATTGGTTTTTGGCTTTATAGTGAGGCACAAACTATTAACATTTTAAAGGAGTTTCAGCTGCTTTAGTGATCCAGTATCAGTGATAACAAGTTGAATGTACCCTATGTATAATGAAATGTCCTAATTATGTTGACATTTTGTGTCAAAAGGGGTCAACATGAGAGAATATTAGGGTCTATTGTTATACTGCCCAGAACAGTGTCTGAAGGTGTATGGTAAATGGTAGGTTTAGTACTGCAGGGTCTACAGGAAAACTACACTGATGGGGTTTTAGTGCAGATGGCCAAGTACCGTTCTGCTTTTAAAAGATAAATTACACATATACTGGCTGTGTACTACGCTTAGTAGAGCTTTAAGTGACATTATCAGTGGTGGAATTCACAAAGTTATTATAAAATTGCCATAACATACTGTGGTGCATTACCCTGTCCCCATTTCTTGAGATTTAGATGCTGACCAAAAATTTTCAACATGGCCAAAAATGCTGGTTTGTCACTGGTAGAAAACTTAAATCTAAATGAATCTAGACTTGGTGCGCCTGTTATTGCTGAGCTAAACCTAATGCTTCCCATACACAGCTCTTAGTTAATGATTACATATGCTGGTTTTGCTCACACTTTGTTTCTTGAACACAGGAATCAGAAAAGATCATTGCTGAGCTCAATGAAACCTGGGAAGAGAAACTTCGAAAGACTGAGGCAATCCGCATGGAAAGGTCAGTACTGACAGACGCTATCTGTCCATCTACCTCATGGGGAGAGATGTGTCTTTCGTGTGCCTCCAAGTCCACCTTCAGTATTGCACCCCTCTGTGTTGTCTAATTTTCTTCACCAATCCTCATTCTGTCCATTTCCATTCCCTTTTCTGCTGCTACACTCTGCTGCACAAATACCCTTTCCCGCCCTTTATCCACTCATGTAGCTACAGACATCAACCATGTTACTAGCTGTCCACTGAGTCTCACTGGTGCCATTCTCTTGCCGTCATACCACAAATCACTAGCTGTGATGTTGCACGCTATCACTTCTCATCCACTTTCTCTTATCAACATAAAAGTTTTTGCTCAAAATAAATGTGCATTGTTACAGTTTATATTTAGCTGCTGCAGGAGGTCTGCGAGGGAAAAAGATGTTTTGTGAAGACAATGACAGTATATTTCAGCATAGTTCAGTTTTAACTGGGTTAACAGATATCTTGCCTGTACTACAGGGAGGCATTGCTTGCAGAGATGGGTGTGGCGATCCGTGAAGATGGAGGCACTTTGGGTGTATTCTCTCCTAAAAAGGTAGGACAGACAGAAGTAGACATTGATCGAAGAGGACTCTGTCAATTTCCTGCACACCCACCATCACTTCCTCACATCATGTTGTCTTTTTTCACATAATCTTTTTCCCCTGAGAACCCTCCCTGCACAATCACTGGTTTTCACATTGGTTCATTTAATCATTCTGTCTGTCTTTTCACTCTTTATTTGCTTCATTCACACACTCAGCTTAGCCATGAAAGGTCATTCGATGAGCAGTTTGCTTGTTTTCCCACCAAGAAGGTTTGTTTAATTGAATCAGTAGCCAAAGCACCTTTCCCACATTAGATGTAGCCCTGTAACAAAACAAAGTTTAGTTAAATCTTAAGTAGTGATTTAAGTTGTTCTCAAGGTTTTTGCACCCTATGCATTTGGACAGTTTGTATGTCTTGAAATAATTTACAACTTTCAAACTACTTTTTGATTTGTAGCTCCCTTTTCCCCTCCAAGATTGATCTGCAGTCTAATGTACTTGATCAGCTTTAAAATGGTGGGGTTGTATTACATTTTGACAAGTGATTTTGCATCTAGGTTACTTTGAACTAAAATTTGACAGTTCATTTAAACCACAGTTCATATTTAAATATAATTTAGCTACTTGGATTTATTATCTAACTCACTGTTCAGCCATCATCAGATAAGCTCAGAAAATTCTTTTAAATTAATCCATCTTTAAGCATGTTTTGACCACCTCTGCTGCTAATAGTTTTTTAAAATTTCATTTAAATTCATTTGACTTTATTCATTTTTTTTCTCTCTTTTCACTTTCTGCTGCTTCATGGCTTATCATTTCTTTGAGAAGCCTTGTGATCTCTTTGCAGACTTTAATTGGGTGTTTTCCCCTAAAAAGGTTGGTCAGAGGAGTAGCCGTTAGCATCGTTCTGTAATGTATCAGACTCTAGAGGTGTCAGTGAGACCAGTTCTCTTGTCCTTGTGTCACTGACAGCCTGTCAACAATGTTTGATATGAAACTGTGCCTACTTAATTTACATTTCTGTTGTTAGAATACTTTCAATACTGCTGAATATTACTGAAAGCTATGAAATCCTAGACGTTTTTGTTGTGAACCATCAATCTCTCGTGTCATCTGTAGACCCCACACCTGGTTAACCTGAATGAGGATCCTCTCATGTCAGAATGTCTGCTCTACTACATCAAAGATGGAATTACAAGGTAACCAAAACATCAGTGATGCTGCAGATGATGCGGAAAGGCTTCAGTCTTCTGATCTTATGCAATATGGAGTCAGAGATAACTGGCTTAAAATCGACTCCTGATCACAATTTTTTTGGGGGAGAGGGTTGTTGTCTGAAGTTACCTTCCTCCCCTCTTTGTCCTTTTGGGCACCCTCTACAAGATATTCCCATTGAGTAATGTTACATTCATGTCCCACAGGGGCAACATCACAGATGAGAGACCCTATAGTTTTTTAAAAGGCCATCCTTCTCATAAGTAATAGTTTAAAACCTCTGCCAGTACAATCAGAGAGCAGTGCTCACGCTTTCAAAATGGCCTCTATGATTGTTTCAGGGTGGGTCAGACCGACACTGAAAGACGACAGGATATTGTTTTAAGTGGTGCTCATATCAAGGAAGAGCACTGCATCTTCTGCAGTGAGAGGAATGCCAATGGAGATGGTGAGGCACTTTATTATGAGTTTGATTGCTTCTGTATACTTTGGTGCATGTATGGTCTGAATATCTGGATTCTTATGAATTAAGCCAAGTTGACAAAAGAAATAAAGACGGATACCTTCAGCCTATAAGTATCTCCAAAAACAAACCTAGGCACTTTGGATGAAATAAGTTCATTTTCTGTTGCTAATGGAAACATTTTGCCATAAATTGCAGTAAACAGTAAAATGCATGAGATATTTGTTCTTTGCTGTATAAAAATGATTTGTGATGAGATTTTAAGAATGAGTGGCTGATGATTGGTTGGTGTGCTTTTTGCTGAAGTTATCGTCATGCTGGTGCCCTGCGAGGGATCAGAAACATACGTCAATGGCAAACGTGTTGAAGATGCAATCCAGCTTCGTTCAGGTATATATTCCATTTTTGTAAATAAAGCTGTAATTAATCTGTAAACAGGTTGTGTCTATTAGACTTGTCTCAGTATGCCAAGGTAAATATAAAGACTAAATTCTTAATAATTGAATTTAAATAATGGTAACTTTATATTTCATAAATCATTGGTGTATAATACAGGTCACACTTTACATGTACAAAAACATGATAAAAAGTGTTGGAGCTATTGGCTTCGTGTACATTTTTCATTCAGCACTGAAGAAGTAATATCTCGGTTAATTTCGTGCTTTTCATGCTCATTTCCGCCCCCTGTGCTGTACCTCCTTTCAGGTAACCGTATCATCATGGGAAAGAACCACGTGTTTCGGTTCAACCACCCAGAACAGGCTAGGGCTGAAAGGGAGAAAACGCCGTCTGCTGAAACCCCTGTGGAGCCAGTGGATTGGACCTTTGCTCAGAGAGAGCTGCTGGAGAAGCAAGGCATTGACATGAAGCAGGAGATGGAAAAAAGGTATGAAATCCACCCTTTTAGCTTTGATTGAATTAATTGTATTTGTGTAAGTAGCTTGATTTCCTTAGTTTCAAATAAGGATCGTATATTATGAATTGTGCGATATACCTAACAGTATGTTTTGCTCATTTATGTAGGCTCACTGAGATGGAGATTTTGTACAAGAAGGAGAAGGAAGAAGCAGATCAACTTCTGGAGCAGCAGCGCCTGGTGAGTTCACATAAGCTGGCATTTAATCAAACCCATTTTTATGCTTTCAGTCAGATTTTTGTAGTCAACTCATTAACTGTAGGGTTTGGGTGGGTTTAAACAAAATTAAGCCATATCCTATCATAACCTATATGATGCTTTATACAAGTTAGTTGTATCATAACCAAAGGCAGCTTCTTAAATGACCCAGTTCGTTTGTGATACTGTGTGTGATTATGTTTTTTTTAAGTGTAATGTACTGTACTGTCATAGGTGTGATACAGAGTTAAAGCATGGTGTTTCAATTGGAAAGCTGGCTTCAGTTTTTCTGGATGACTTGGTCCATTTAAATCTGACTAGTACTAATTCTCACTCTGAGTGCTGACACTTTTGAGTTGTGTGTGTATGTGCGTGAATCACACTTTTGCTCCTAGCGCATGTCTCTTCTTCCTGCATGAAAGTTTTTCTGGTTTGAGGCAGATGAGCTTTTACTCGCCTTCCTCTTGAGTACAACTGATTTTTCTGTAGCAATTTGAGTGAGAGAGAATTAGATTGTAAAGCTTTCCCCTTTTGAATTCCATGTTTTCCCTTCTCCTGCGTCCTCTAGAGTGAATCAGAATCTTGCAAAACAGCAGCTTGCAGCTAAGGTTAATTAATATTAAGATCAAAATGAATTTAAAACCAATTGGTCTGTATTGAAGCACACACACCCCTATTTTTATAAAAGTGATGCTGCTTTTGCATGGTTCTTGTTAATAGCATGTTTACTGATTCAGTACTGGTTCTCGATTAAGTTGCAGTATTTGCTATTGAGCTGGTCAACTCTGAAGTGGCTGTTGATTTGCTTGGATTAGATTTCTACTCTAGTTTTCTTGCTCTGTTTTGTCCTGAGTTTCATCTCTTCAATGCAGTTGCTGACATGTACAATGCATTGTGATAACAACAATTCCTGCAGTAGTTTTTGATGGATAGTGACAATGTGGTTTCTCATTGACTTCTTTGGCTACTTCTCTTTGCTAGCCTTTGTGTCATCTGTGTAGCACACTGAGGGCATGGCTCAACAACCGAGTTATCACTGCTCAAAGTTGAATCAGTCAGCTGCAGACCTCTTCCATACTCTGATGGTTTAATGTGCAGAGCTATAGGCATAGGGTTCAGACTCCCAGCGACATAACATTCAGTTCTAGCCATAGATACAATATCACACACAAGACCTGAAGTATCTGTCCCTTTTGGAAGTGATCTGTAATGTACTTTGTCTACGAAAAATGAGAAACTGCATTTTTTTTTTCCGACTAACATCTTTCCTGTAGTGGTTTAACACTTACCCTTACTTCTGCCCCTCCTCTCTCTACTGGCTTTGTGATCAACTGCAAGAACACTGTCTTCTAACTCACCGCTAATACTAAAGCCACTCAGACCTTCCGGACTAAATGGGGAAAGCTCCAAAATTCATCCCGTCTACATGCATGCCTCAGTAGCATGTTTTGGATCCAGCTGTCAAATCACAATTTTCACTTAAGATGAGGAATATCACAAAACAAAACAGAAGGGCCCCAGTGAGCAGATGTGTCTTTTCTAATCATAATAAACATGCTTTACCTGTACCTTTAATATCAATATGCAACATTGGGAACAATATTGTTAAAATCTATATCCCCCTTACAGAAATGTCAATGAATATAAATGTATTCATATCTATGTTACCCTTTCACTGGAGAAAATAGGATAAAAACTAAATGACAAGAAAGTCAATGGAAGCCACTGTTTGTTGTATATTTGTTTGTTCTCTATCTTTATTTTGAACATCATTTTGGAAATGACATTGCATGTTGCCATACATCTTGTACAGCAATGATGTATGCTCAATATTTAGATAGCATTATTACAAGCATCTTAGTCATTTTTGGTAAAAATCATACATTTCAAAATTCTGAACATCAAAATTCTGTCAAAGTTCAAGTACTAATAGTCCAATCCAACTTCGACTTGACTCATGAATGATGTTCCCATGTTGCATATTCATACCTTTTATTCATTCTTTTTAAGCCACCCTTTCATCCTCTCTTTGATTTCCCATTGTGATTTATTCTCTTTTTTTGGGGGGCGGGGACCATTTGGTTTGTGTCCTGTGTTGTTTTCTCAAGGATGGAGACTCTGATAGTGGGGATGACTCAGATAAGAGGTCTTGTGAAGAGAGCTGGAGACTGATCACTTCCTTGAGGGAAAAGCTGCCTCCCAGCAAGCTACAAACCATAGTGAAAAAGTGTGGATTACCCAGCAGTGGGAAAAGAAGAGAGCCAGTTAAAATGTACCAGATCCCCCAGCGACGCCGCATCACCAAGGACTCTAAGTGGGTGACCATCTCTGATCTGAAGATCCAGGCAGTCAAAGAAATCTGCTATGAAGTAGCGCTCAATGATTTCCGACACACACGACAGGAAATCGAGGCATTGGCTATAGTAAAGATGAAGGAACTTTGTGCTAGCTACAGCAAGAAGGACCCCAATGAGCGGGACTCATGGCGGGCGGTGGCGCGGGATGTTTGGGACACTGTAGGAGTTGGTGATGAACGCATTGAGGATGTCATCACCAATGGGCCTCGGGCAGGAGGGGTTGTTATGGATGAACTAAAAGTGCACATTGATAAACTTGAAGACATCTTGCATGAGGTAAAGAAGCAGAATAACATGAAGGACGAGGAGATCCGTGCACTCAGAAACAAGATGGTCAAAATGGAAAAGGTTCTCCCACTCATCACCCCAGAGGGCCAAGAAAAGCCCCCCAGTGTTGGCACGTCTTCTTGTGCAGTCAGAACTCCAAGCCCTCGAGAAGGAAAACCTCCTGTGCCTGAAAGGCCCAATGGAGAGGATGTAGATTCCCAAACAGGCCAAAGTACAGGAGATGACTCAACCCTGAAGCGAGGCCACATGCGCTTGATGCGTCAGGAACAGTTACGCCTCAAGAACCTTCAGCAACAAGAGATCTCCAGGCAGCTCCGCCGGCATACTGGACCTCACCGCTTTATACCCCCAGAGGACCGTAAGCTACGCTTCCCCTTCAAAAGTAACCCTAAACACCGCAACTCATGGAGCCCCGGTACTCATATCATAATTACAGATGAGCAGGTTATTGAACTAAAGGTGCCCAAAGAATCTGTGGAGGAAGAAGAGGGTGAAAGCCAAGCTGGAGAAGGAGTACAGTCAAGAGAAAGAGCTATACAAGTCACCCCTCTATTGCCAAGTCCGCCAGTCCAGCACATAAGTAAAGACTTGGAACATGGAGTAAGCCAGGGTCAGAGACATAACTATAGGAACAACCAACATCAGCAGCCTCATGAACGAGGCCGCAGCAACTCTTTTAATCACCGCCAGCGGCCCTCTGGCTCCATGGAGTCACTGCAGCAGTCTGAAAGCAACAGGAGGCATATGCAGGCTTTCCACCAGCCCCGCGCCCATCAGATCCTGCCGGCATATCACCCGCCATATCATCAACAACAGCCTTGCCACTATAATAGCATGATGTATGCAGATGGCAGCTTCAGTGGCTACCAACAGCACAATTACATTGATCATGCTAACCATCCAGTCAACTATCAGGCTCCTCCACGAATGCGCAGGCAAATGTCTGCCCCTAATCTGAAAGCCAGCAGAGAGACGACAGTCTGAGAGAGTCTTGTGGAATAAGGAACTAGTTTCAGATGCTTAAGTAGGCAAATACATTACAGATCACAACAGGCCGGAAGCATGAGAATCAAATGACACAACTGACATTGACTTCTGCACTTGATAAGTATTTTAGTATTTGAACCAAAAGTGTTATAAAAAGACATTTTATCATCATCATCATCATCATCATATACTTAACGCTGTTTTATCATTTGCTGCATTGTGTGCTCTGTCATCACTAGCACTAGGAGAGATGTTATAAGGAACTGAAGCCAATAGATGATAAGGGGACTGTTTTTGCCATGGCTGCTCTGTTCATTTTTCAGCATGTATGACAATTCATCAGTCATTCTTTGATTTGCCAAAATTATTTTCATGATTGAATTTCTGAGTTTACATCTTTGCCACTACAGTGTGAACACACTGAAGTGTCTCAATTTGATCAAGATCGTTGTAGCCCAAATTAGGAACTGAGAGCACCCTATAGTTATTTATTATTATTTTGTGCACCATATAATTGAATATTAAAATGGAAGAATTAGTTCTCTTTGCAGTTTTATATTTTGTACCGCATGACACATTTTTTGCAAATCATTATTGGCCTAGATCTGGAATCAAAAGACCAATGTGTTGGATTTTAAAACTTTTAAAATTGATTGTTGATTAACTTGATGCAGCAGTCAATTGTGTGACTGCCTTTTATATAGACTGAAATTGTCATCAAAGAAAGTGGTATTCAAAAAGTGCTTTTTTTTATGCACTAACTTTTATTAATCCCACTGTGCATTTATAATTTAGTTTTTTTTTTCCCTTCCTTTTAATTAGGTGCTCACGCACAAGGTTTCAGCAAAGGAAACGTCATAAAACCTATCTTCTAACTTTTTAGTATTAACACTAATTCAGTTTATCAGAAAGCCACTTGATTGATACCAGACTTTTTTGTTTCTATTTTCAAATATGTACCTGCCACCCACTTGTATTACAGTATTTTGCACAATCTCAAGTCATCCCTCACAAACTACTCACATTTTATATAGTCCAATATTTCTCTCCAGGATATTTTCAATAATAATGTGTTTTTCTGACTCCCGGAGTTAAATAAAGACCCTATCGAATGCAAGAACTGCTATGCTGAAATGCCAGGAGAGCAACATAACTGTAAGATAAGCACAAAGTTTAAAAGTGTCACTGTAACCAGTGCAAAACAATATTCATCCTGCATAAATTGCATATCATGAACTGAGCTCTGATTTCTTTTTCCTGTGGTCTTAAAATTACATTTTGAGTTTGGGGTTCACTGAATAAGCTCAGAGTTCATTGTGTTTTGAATAGATGACTGAAGAGTGTTGTCATGGTTCCCAAAGACTTGCCTTTAAAAATGTTGGGGGGAGGACAAAGAGTTGAAGTGTTTGCATGATGTTATTCAGGACAAATATCCGTGTCAAATGCAATTTATCGGACTGCTTTGTTTTAACTGCATAAAACACAGAGTATTCATACAACCTGGACTGGTCTATCAGAGTGATCGTATATGAAATACGTTGTCCGTGTCAGTGTTTTGCCTCTGTGCTTCAGCTGACGCTTATTTGCAATAAGTATGCCCGTTAGTCTGTCTTTGCCTTGCTGCATCTGTAGCTTTAAAAGAATACGTTACTTATTACATTTCAATAACAGATGGCCTCCACGTCATTGTAGAGAAGCAGAGACACTCGGAATCATGGGAGAGACCTTTGAGTAATATCAAAATCTTACATTTGATTTGGAAATAGTCAAGTTGTTTTCCATTTTAACTTTTGAAGGTGTATATTCTGCCTTACCGTGTATATTCTGCCTTATCGTGTTCCATTAAAGAATGTTACTTAATGTATATGCACTGGTGCTGATGGCAACCAGATAATCTGGAAAGTGTACATGTACAGCACAGCATCAAATTGGACAATGTACTTGAAATATGTTCTTTTGAAATATACCAGTTTATTAGGTCTCAATTCAAAGTGTCTGGTTTTTTGTTTTTTGTTGTTTTTGTTTTTTTTCCAGTCTGCAATATCAAATACCTCACTCTGGCTGTGTACCAAGTTGTGTTGCTTCCTTAATCAGCTGCTGAGCAAACATACAGTTCATAATGGAATAGTGTTGCTCACAGGTTTAAAAAAAGGATATACTGAATCCCTGTGTTGCTGGAGGTTTATTGTCAAAGTATAAATAAAATTACATGGTCCAGGTGCAAGTTTTTTTTTAAACTATATAGGTATGGTTTATTTTTCATTGCCAATAAACTAGTTTAGGGACAGAAACAGATCTCTACATTTGTGCATAGGTCACCTGAGGTCAGGGTAAATGTACTGTAAATGTTTTAATTGTTTGTAGAACATTAAATTTGGAAGCCCTAGTTGTTTTTTTTAAATGCTGAATTCTCTTATTAGCCATTTTTAACTGTAATTTTTAATACTACAGTACATCATGGAATTGTCCCAAATATTCTGTACTGGCAAAATGGGATGGGAATGACCGTTGGTGAGCTTTTACCTCATTCCACTAGCATGATTTTAGGCATTTAATATAGACTAAGCCTACATTAAACCTATATCAGAATTTAGATATCCATTCTTTCAGGCTGCTTCAGTCTGTTGCACATGGTTTATTATGGTTCACACTACATGTATGTTACAGTAGCAGCCTCAAGCCAATAAACATGTATTCACTACAACTCAGTTATTGGACTTTCATAGGTCGCTTGAATCAAGAGAATTCAGCTTCTGGCTTTCTGGTAGCATTTCAGAATGGGGGAGGTTGATGACAAATGAAAAGGCTTCATTGTCTTCCCAGAAGACACTGAACAAACAGAATGAGGTCATCGAGACCACAGCCTGTCCTGCTCTGATGAGGATGGCGCCCCTCATTGGATTACTGTTGACTCAGCTTCCACCTGCATCTCTCTTCATTCATCCACTCCAGCCATTTATCTCAGAATATGATGTTTCATTTACAGAATATTGTGTAGTCATTGCAAAGTGTGAAAGTGTTTTATTCATTGCACGGGCTTAAGACTTGAGTTAGCCACTATTCAAAATTATAATAATTTTTAAAACCTCTTATTATGCACAATAGACTTGTGGTTCTTCATTGTGTAAAATATTCTATCCTCTGAGGTCATTTCAAGTGATAAAAGAAAAGACATACACAGATAACAAGACTAACATTCAGTTTCAGTACAGATTTGAAAATGTACTGTAAGTATAAACAGTACAATCTTCTTGTGTACATCTCACTACATATTTTATATAATTGTAAACCCACTTTTATGTACAGTAACGCTGTATTACTTAACACATCCAACTATATGTATCCATGTGTCATTTGGACTAGTAGCAAACTTCTTTGGTACTAGCAGTGTTGTAGAAATGTTATTCTGAAAACTGGCTGAGCTCACCTGCTACTGCAGCTGATGGATAGTTGCCCATGTTTTCTTTCCTTTTCCTTGTGTGTTGGTGTCTAGGTTTATGAGAGCAAACTGCAGGAACTTCAGAAACAGGTGGACTCATGTTCCCTGGTAGCTGAGACGCCTGATGAAGAAGAGTTGGAGGAGGAGGAGGAAGAGGAAGGTGTGTACTGTCAATCTTCTTTTGTAGATATTTTTTTTAAACATGTAAGCCCCAAATCTATATTTAAAAAAATGCACTGTTTTCTTCCACATTTTCTGTCCAGAGGTTAAACTACTTGGATGTGCGTATAGTATTTTTTTATTTCATAATCAAAAAATATCAACCTCATTCAGATTGACTCTAAAATGTTAATATTGTCACACTAATGACCATTCAAGGCATTCAGTGAGCCTAGTTCATAAGTCATATCCTCTAATCCCTTTGAAAGACAACATGATACTCATATAAACTAACTTCTGCTTGACATGTAAAGGACCATACTTATAGTTTTTCATGTTTTAACCCATGAGTTACAAATTGCCTCTAAATGTATTTACGTCCTCAAGAAAACTGCTTTTATTGAAATATGGTTTTTCTTGATATCACTGTGATCTTAGGTATAGGTTTTTCGTGGTCAAAGAATCATATGAAGTTCAAACTATCATGGAAATAGTGCTTTTAGGTGTAGTGATATTTCAGTAACAGTGAGCTGCTATGGCGGAGGTCTGCTCTCTCTGTGTGCCGTCTAGTTTTCACTGAGTCTGACCTGATTGATAATATAGTCTTACTTTACTTCTGTGTGTACAAATATTGATGTTACTGAAGTTTTTACTGTATTAGAATAATTATCGTAGAACTAATAACTCAGTGGCATCCCATCCATCCAGGTAATATGATGTTTAGTCAAAATGTAACTGTTCTCTGCAATTTGGGTGACAAACTGTGGCTTTTATTAGCTAGGTTGCTATCAGTATAGTACAGCTGATTTGTAGTTGGGCAAAAACAAGCAAAACCATTGGTATGGTCCTTTTTGGTTTTATGTGCATTTACATCATGTACAAGTGTGTTCATGTGTACAGTATATACATCATGTTAATGTAACCTCTGTCTCCCTGCAGTGCCATGGACTCAGCGTGAGTTTGAGCTGGCACAGTGGGCCTTCAGGAAGTGGAGGTATCATCAGTTCACATCCCTCCGTGACCAGCTGTGGGGAAATGCTGTCTACCTGAAGGAGGCCAACGCCATTAGTGTGGAGCTAAAGAAGAAAGTAAGGAAAAGTAGTAAAATTTACTTTTTACTTATTTTGTTTAAATTTGGGATCAGCAGTCTTTAGAGTAACAAAACATTTCTAAACCTAAATTATGCATAATAACGTACCTACCTACCTACCTACCTGTATTTTTAACACAAAATATAAGTCTTTAACCTGACAGGCCTAAAAACAAAATATTAAAATATGAAAAAAAGGAATCAGAGCACTTAAAAAAAAAAAAAAGTAACGTTCAAAGTTAAATGAAAAGTGTGTGTAAAGGATGATACAACCAGTGATCCTAAGTGTAGTTAAAAATAATTGTCCTCCAATAATGTACTTCACTGAAAGTCGTATTTATGTACAGAGGTGAATCAGCCTCATATCCATTATGCATCAGGTTCTGGGATGCTTGACTGTGATGCAAGAAAACACCAGTACCTGTTCTGCTGGGCAGAATGCTGAATGTGAGACACCACAGGATTCATAAAGATTTCTGTTCAGCCCAGGGATTTATTTAACTGGACACTCATCTTAAAATGTATTGTATGTTTGAAATAATTCACAAGTCCTCCAGAGCGGCATGTTGACTCATTGTCAGACAGAGAAATTAAACGTGTTATAAGTCAAAAGCTGGTTGGTTACAATCCACCTTCCCCATCAGAGAACTGTATGATTTATAGTATTACCCTGTTATAAGAGCTACATGAATGATATTGGAGATGGATCAGTGGTCACAAAGATATTTTCAGTGCGTTTTTATTTATCTTTAGGTTTCTTGCATCTGTAATTTATATCCAGTGTTGTTCAGTGGTTTAGCATTTTACCCACGAGATGCCACATGGCAGGGAGTTTGCAGTAAAATAGAACCATACTACACAAGACACTGAGACCTTCATGTCTTTTAACTGACAAATAATGTTTATTGCAGTTATAAATAAAGCTTTTAATAAGGTATACCAGTTCTCATTTTTAAATCAGGATGGATCATCATGCTTGTCTTTGTGCTATTGTTCTTCTTGGCCTTATTTTTTCATGCCCCCCCCCCAACTGTCTTTCATATTCCTCAGGTCCAGTTCCAGTTTGTCTTGCTGACAGACACACTGTACTCGCCACTGCCCCCTGAGCTCCTGCCTCCAGAACCAGAGAAAGAGCATGACTCCAGGCCTTTTCCCCGCACAGTGGTGGTTGTAGAGGTTCAGGACCTTAAGAATGGAGCTACTAACTACTGGTCCCTTGCTAAACTCAAGTAATCACCATAACCTATTTTAATCTTGTCCTGGATTTATATACTATAGATCGGTGTATATAAAGAAGTGTAGCCCATCTTCTGCTGTTAGAAATCATGAATCACTAATGTCTGCTTTTGCGCAGTCAGCCTGTTGTTAGATGGTTTTTGTGCCTTCAAATCTGGAAAAATACAAGCAAAAAAAACCCACAAAGACTGACATTAGTATATCTAGCAGCAGCTCTCAGTTAGCTCTTAGGCTCTTATGTTCTCATTAATATTGAGAGCACTCTGTCATCCTTTGCAGGCAGAGGCTGGACCAGATGAGAGAGATGTATGACCGTGCTGGCGAAATGGCCTCCACACACCAGGAGGACGATGATGGTACTCTGACTGGAAGTGACCCCTTTTATGACCGTTTCCACTGGTTTAAACTTGTAGGAAGGTATGTAAATCACAGCCAGGAAATAGGCATTCACTACAGCACATCATAGTACTACATTACCAGATAGTGGTTAAATATTGTTTGTTGTTGCCTGTTTGAGTTTTTGTGGCTGACTGATTTGATATGGCTTCACTTAGGCAACATTTACTTAAAAATGGATTTATCCGTTTACTTTCATTCCATTTTTCATTTTCATGATCAGCTTCTGCTACACAGATTCATTTTCTACCATTAGAGTCATATGGGCTAGTGATATCACAGGTTTTGGCATCATGCTTTATTTATGTCAATTGTTTTGTTGCTCATATTATGTTTTCAATTCATTTTTTGCTGTAGTCATGTTTATAATTTGCTACATTTGTGATTTTATTTTGATGCTTTTGATTTCATGTCATTTACAATGATGTCATTTTATTTGACACCAATTTCAAGTTGTCATTTTTTTTTTAAATCATAAACTATGTCGTTATTCATCTTTATATCACTTTGTTGTGTCTGTTGTCATTCTCATGTTGATATCCCTTCATCTTCATACAAAAACTTATTAACAACAGTGGATTTAGATGTGTGAATTTGTGGCCTGTTGTATTCTGTCCTCTTTCAGCCAGCAATATATTTATATGTTAATCCTTTTAAAGCTGCATTAACTAACTTCTTCCTCTAATTTTCAACCATAATGGTTGAAAATTAGAATCAAAACAAACATAAGCAGTATCCCCTCCTCTTCACCCACGGTTGTGACAGTCAGGTAGCACAGCAGTAATAACCGGCTCCAGAACTAAAGTGTAAGGAATATAGAGCCCATGGTTTTTGGTGGCATTGCAGCAACACAATGTCAAATAAAGAGATTTACATTTTAGCAATATCATATGTATGTCTAACATTGTTTGCAGTGGGTGTATCTGCAGTAACACAAGCAAATTACACAGAGGAATATTTTTTCCCAGTAATGTTGATGCAGTACTAATGTTCCAACCACTATAGCATCACATTCAGTGCTACATACTTGACACACATAACCATGAGTTGTATGTGAAATACGAAATTTGATGTTTCATTTTGGTAGTTGAACAACCTCCCCACTTTTCTAGTTGTGTTGTTGGTTTAACATCGTTTCCCTAAAATGCTACATGGGCAGATGAGGTCTGTCTAACATAAACTGAACCAAAATCGGGCAGAAATTAACAAAATTACTTCATTTGCTAATCCAGGAAAACACACTGGTTTCCTCTAAATAGATAACAAAACACTAACATTGCAGTTAGTTGGAATGACTCCAAATTACGACCAGAATAATTCATTGAAAAGCAGGGAGACAACACTGCTAGATAATTTTTTTACTTGATTTATCTGAATTTGTGCTAAATCCTAGTTAATGCAGCTTTAAAGTGACTTTTGTTTTGACATAAAATAATCACATTTCTAGAGGCTGCCTAGCAGCTTCTTGTAATACTGCTATTACAGTCGCAATAGCATCACAGTACAAAAGTCTTTTTTTCTTTGGATTGCTTTAGCTAATAATCATATTACCACTAGTTTTACTTTGCAATTCAGAAGATACAGAAATATGTTTATCTCTTTTATATCAGAATGTTTTTATGTAATTTGTGTTAAACTACTAAACTATTTGTGAGAAAACGATATTTATGCTGAAGTTTCTGTGCCGTACTTAATAAGCTGCAGTAGCCTGTTTAACTCTTCTGTTACTCCGTTGTTACCTTTCCCTGGTTTCTGCCAAACTACCAACTCTCTCAGCTCCCCTATCTTCCATGGTTGTGTTAATGAGCACCTAGTCGACCGCACGCCCTCGCCTACATTTTCCACGACTGACTCCGAGATCACCGAGTTAGCAGACGAGCGCCAGAGCGAGATGTCTGATTTGATTGACGATGAGGCGTTTGTGGATGACACCAGCTCGGATACCGGCACAGAGGAGGGCTCGGACATCTTCAGTGACGGCCAGGACCCCTTCTATGACCGCAACCCCTGGTTCATCCTGGTGGGAAGGTTGGTGACTGGCAGTGGCATTCCCACAAGCTGGGACAGGAATATGGCAAATGTTAGCGTGTTTTAGTGAAGTTCATGTAATTACTCAGACTTGGAGCAAAGTGAAACAAAGGAGGAATAAAGATTATTCCGTGTTGGTGATAAAACACCTGTAAAAAGCACTGAAAACAACATAACACATACAAAAAAATGCCAGTCAGACAGATATTGAAGCATATACTGTAAGATACAAGACATTATGTTACATTTTAATTTAGTAGATGCCAAATTCTAGTTCTAAAAAATGTGAGAAAATACTGTGAGCATACCACTTATTAATTATAACTAAAGCTCCCCTTTCAATTCAGAATTAGATCATGTATTCACAGCAGCAGAAAGAGAAATTGGACCAGTTTTGAATTTAATATAGTTAGTCATACTTCTGTGCTTACAGGCCTGGTTTTTATGAGTCATTTAAACTCAATTTTCCAGATAATGCAAAGCCACCATCCATTTTCATCACCTTCTCCCAGTGTGAAGCATCACCCCCTGCCACCATCACAGGGCTGACTTGCTTAACTCACATCTGTGTGTAAAGTTACATGCATTTGCTGAGTGTAAACTGATTATCTGTCTGTGATGTGTTTTTTTTTTGTTTTTTTTTTGTATCTTTTAAGCCTTGTTTGATTTGTTTTTATTTATTATATTGTGGTTAAATGTTTTGTAACCTTGATTGTTTTAACATTGCTCTTGGATTGTATTATAGGTAATATTAATAAGTTGGCTCTTATTTAATCATACTTTGTTTTAATTGGTTGTCAAGGTGAAGTAATATGCTATAGCAGCATTTGAAATCACAGTACACGCTGTACCAGTTCTGCAGCCTCCGCGTCGTGAACACATTGTGTCTCAAAATAAGATGACAGATCGATGCAGGCTTCACTCCAGGCTCTCTGCAACAGTCATAGCTCAGTTACATGCGTCACTGTGACTTCAGAGATTTTACAGATTGAATTCTCTCCCCTTCCCTGGCCTTGAATCTCCCAGCACTCGGAAGGAGGGGTGACAGACAAAGAGTGGGTCACCAGGGGTGCAGCAAAACAAATCAAGTCCCACAAAAGAGGATGTTAGTGAGTGAGAGGCTAACGTCGCTGTAACACCACACAATAAACTACTGTTTACTGCTGCATCCCAGGCGATCTGTCATCACCCCTGTTATGCAGTCTTAAAATAAAGTGGAAGGTTTTTCTTTATTTTGTTTTTACTTGTCCCTTAACATAGTTGTCACTATTATTTCACTTTGTTATTTTAATCATTAGGCAGTTATATAACCAAAAAAAAAAAACACACAAACACATAATCATTAATACAGTGATCACGTTTTCTGGATCTGAAGACTGCAGCAGTCGTTCTACACTGCACCAGAATCAGGTTTTCATGTGTTTCTCCTCTTTTTTTTTTTTTTTTACTCCCAGAGCTTTCGTGTACCTGAGCAACCTGCTGTACCCTGTAACGCTGGTTCACCGTGTTGCCATAGTAACAGAGAAGGGCGAGGTTTGTGGTTTCCTGCGTGTGGGGGTGCAGGCTATAGCTGGTGAGTAATTAATGATCTTCTCTAATGAGCAAGAGATTTAGGATCTTTATATCCTGCTAATCGCTCGTTTATTTGATTTTATGCTATGATGGTGAGTCTAGAATGTGATATCAACTTCTGTTTTGATATGTGAGAATATTTTTGAAAGGCCCTTTAAGCCACCAGTCTGCTGGCAAAGAGAAAATTCCCTTGGAGTCTCGGTTTAGTCTTTTTGATCTGCTTTAGTATTTTAGTCAGCTGTGTCTGATAGATCATGATGAGATTGGGTTTGTTTCTTTGTAGCTGACGAGGAGGCCCCAGACTACGGGTCAGGAGTTAGGCAGTCAGGAACCGCCAAGATTTCTTTTGATGATGAATACTTCAAAAAGGTAAGCCCAGAGTTAGACAAGAGGAGTTTCAAATGTGAGAGCACTTTTCTCCGTATATGTGTGTGAGACAATATTTGGATTTAGACACTGAGTCATCAGAGAAAGTTGTGGTTTGTGGGAGTTTTTATTACGTATTTAATTTCCAAAAACAAACATAAGGAATAGCAGATGTATTTTTATTCATTATTTGTCCTTTAATGTTCAAATACTACAGATTGGAATCACAGGCAGAGATTTGGTTCATCTGTTTCTTTCTGACAACTATATGCTAATGTATTCCTCCTCTTTTCTCTGCATTTCCTTTTTGTCCAATCAGAGTGACTTTCCCTCCATGGTCATGACCCACTCTGGCTTGTCCCTGGAAGAGTTGCGCATTGTGGAAGGTCAGGGTCAGAATTCAGAGGTCATCACACCCTCCGAGGAGCTCAACAGACTCAATGACATGGGTACGGCTGCCAGACCTTCACCTCTCTACTTGTACATGTCAACCTCTCTGCCCAAATGGGAAACACTCTTGGCAGATGGTCTTGTTTGAATGCAGAGGAGGACATAAAATGTTTAGTTATGGAAATGAGACAGATGCAGTTTTGCTTGCTTTGTGAAGCAATGTGTACAAAGGATATTTGATGAGTGAACAGAGTTTCCTGGACAGATCACAAGCTTCATAATTGATGACTGATTTTCATAATGAAGAATTCATATGCAGATTAGAGCACAGTCAAAAGGGCAGTTGCAGGTCTTTGTCAGTGAATCACAGCACACGTCATCTTAACCTTCCTATGTGGCTTACTTTAGACCTCAAGCTGGGTAACATAGGAGAGACTAAGCTGAGTGTCGGTGGCGGTCTGGCAGGCCAGCTGGAAGTGGGTAGCATCTTTACCTTCCGTGTCACCGTGCTCCAGGCCAGCGGCATCCTGCCTGAGTATGCTGACGTCTTCTGCCAATTCAAGTGAGTTCACAGTACTCAAAATGAGGTGTATGGTCACTTGAATCTTATCAAAGCTTTACAGTTGGATGTGCCCCATACAGTGTCATATCCATC